CCCCGACGGCCCCGCCCTCTCCCGCCTTCTCCCCCTCTCCTGACCTACCTTGTCTCACCCTGGGGTGTGTGTGTCCCCTTCTTTTCCTTTTTCTTTTTTTTGCCAGTCCTGGGGCTTGAACTCAGGGCCTGGGCGCTGTCCCTGAGCTGCTTTTGCTCAAGACTAGCACTCTACCACCTGAGCCACAGCACCACTTGCAGCTTTTTCTGAGAGTGTGGTACTGAGGTATGGAACCCAGAGCTTCGTGCAGGCTAGACGAGCTCTCTACCCCTGAGCCACCTTCCCCGCCCCTGAGATGCTCTTCTAGCCACGGTTCTAGCCCCTGTGATTGGGCAGAGCATGGCTGCGGCCGTCCTGAGTTATGGAGGACTGGCCTGCTGGCTGGTCCAGCGGGAGCGTGCAGTGCCACGCTGTGTGCCCGTGTGCTGTGTGAGCCGCAGGCCCACGGCTTCGGTGCCTCCAAGGGGCACGTGCCCTTCCCCGCATGGGGAGGTGGCATGCTGTGCCCCACCGCGTCTCAGTCTGTTAAATACCAAAGCCTGTTCCTCTGTGTCTGCAGACGCAGACAGCAGTGACATCCTGCCTGCATGATTACGCATCCCCTTCGCACATCCCACGTCTTACTTAGGACTTTGCGTGCGGCACCCTGCCACTGGAAAGCCAGAAGATGACAACCGAGTGGAATCATCCGTAGAAACAGTTAAATCCACTCGCAGCAGTTCTGTCAACATATCAGAATCCAGCCAAGCGCCGGCAGCCCGTGCCTGTCATGGCAGCTACTCCCGAGGCTGAGATCTGAGGACGGTCTAAGTAGACCTCAGAAGAGAGACACGCTTCTCTCCAGTGAGCCAGCAATGAGCCAGAAGGGGAGTCGTGGCTCGAGTGGTAGATCGCCAGCCTGAGAAAAGTGCTCAGGGTCAGCACCCAAGCCCAGAGTTCAAGCCCCCACACACACACCACACACACACACACACAATCCAGCTGCTTAGAAGGCCGCTCTCCACTCACCGACCCACTGTCCGTTAGTGGTTAGTGTGCCGGGGGTGAGGGCAGGGCTGGCCCAGTGGCTCCTGGGCCACGTGGGGGAGGGCTGACAGCAGAAGGGGACGAGGAGAGGAAGGGGCTGACTTGTGCCAGGTGTGGAGATGGAGCCTTCCTCTCCCCTCACCCCAGCTCTTCCTACTCAGCCTCGCTCCCACAGAGAACGTGTGCAGCGAGCCAGCGTGGGGGCCGGGGGGGGGGGGGGGGGGGACAGGCAGGGCGGGGCAGGACAGGAGGCTCAGGCCCGGCGCCCTCTGGAAGATCGGGACCAGCAAGTAAGGATTGCAGGCAATGCAGAAACCACACCCGCCAGCGGGCGGACGGGCAGGGCTTGGAGCTGCCTGCCGCCTCCGCCTCTGTTTAGGAGGCGGGTGTGGAGCCCTCGGTGCCAGCGCTTGTTTCTGCAGGGGCGTGGGGTCAGGGAGCCCCAGGGCCCCTCCGCCAGGCTGTCTGTCCGGAGCAGACTCCTTACCCCTGCTGTGCTCTCATTGCTTCAGCAACGTGAATCCTTGAACTCAGGCCTGGGCGCGATCCCTGAGCTGCCACCCGAGCCACCGTGCCACTCCCAGCTTTTTGGTGGTTAATTGGAGAGAAAGAGTCTCACTGACTCTCCTGAGGGAGCTGGCTGTGAGCTGTGGAGGGGTGTGTGTGGGGAGTAGCTCTGTGGAGGGGTGTGGGGGAGAGGTAGCTATGTGGAGGGGTGTAGGGGGGAAGGTAGCTCTGTGGAGGGGTGTGGGGGAGAGGTAGCTATGTGGAGGGGTGTAGGGGGGAAGGTAGCTCTGTGGAGGGGTGGGGGGAAGGTAGCTTTGTGGAGGGGTGCGTGGGGGGGAGGTAGCTATGGAGGGGTGTGGGGGGGTTGCTATGTGTGGAGGGGTGTGTGGGGGAGTAGCTCTGTGGTGGGTGAGCTGGGAGCTCATGGAGATGGCGTGTTAGAAGCGGGACCCCGGGCGCGTCGCTGGCCGTGGCAGAGGTTGGTTTTACAGTCGGGGACAGTGGAGTCCATGGCACTGTGGCAGTCAGCGCAGGCTGCGGCCCGGCGTGGCTGTCTGGGCTGCGGGATGGAGGGGGCGGCTGGCAGAGCGGTCGTGTGTGGGTGAGGAGCGGCAGATCCGGGACCTGGCCGTGGAGTGGAGCTGTCTGGTGGGTGGGAGGTGGGTTTGTGGTCAGCAGATTCGTGGAGGCCCGTGGTGCAGTCTGGAGGCGAGGCTGGGGAGGAGGGGCACCCTGGGCGTGAGCCCCTTGGTGGGCATTGCCCGCTGGCGCAGGGCCTGGGCACTGTCCCTCTGCTGCTTTGGCTCAAGGCTAGCGCTCTACCACCCGAGCCACAGCGCCACGTGCGGCTTTTTCTTTGTATGTGGCGCTGAGGAATCAAACTCAGGGCTTCATGCATGCGAGGTGAGCATCCCCTCCCCACACACACTAAGCCCTGGTGTGGCGGGACGCGCATCTCCCGGCCCTGAGCTTGTGATGTGCGAGTCTGGTCCCCTCTCATCCTGGAATCGGGGGTGGCTGCACCCCGCAGGTTTGGGGCAGCGACTCTCAGAGTCGAGAGAGGGGACTTGAACCAGAGACTGCCGGAGCGGCCGCCGTGTCGCAGAGGGTCTGAGGTCACAGACGGTGGGGGTGTGGGGTCCCTGGGGTGCGGTGGGAGGATGGGGTGGGGGTCAGAGCCGAGGGGAAACTGTCCTCAGCCCCTGCGGGCTCTCCCGGCTCTTCTCAGGAGCTGTCACAGACTGGGGGGGGGCTTGGCGCAGGCCGGGGGGGTACTGGGCACAGGCGGGTGGGGGGGTTGGGCGCTGCCGTCCCAGTGCTGGCACAGAACCGACAGCAGGGGTGTGTGGCGACTTTGGGGAGCATCGAGGGGCCACTTTCTGCGGACCTCCAGAGGCTGACCATGGAGGCCCAGGGCCTCAGCCAAGGCTCCCTGGCCAGGCCGCCCCCCCCAGCTGCGTTCCTTGGAGGCCGGTGGCCAACGAACCCCAAAACGGACGCTGGGGGAGGCACGGGGCGTGGGACCGCGCGTGGAGCGTGCGCCCAGGGCTGGACGTCCGCCTGTGCCCAGCCGCCGCTTCCATTGCAGATGCCGACGGGAACCTGCGCCCCGGCCAGCAGCTGGTGCCCGCGCTGCTGGCCATGCACCCGGTCCTGCTGCCGTCCACCGAGCTGCTGCGGAAGGTCATGGGCCTATATCCTCCTGTGCCGCGGCCCCGCCGGGGTGGAGCGCTCGGGCTTGCTTATCTGGCCGAGCTGGGCTGGAACCCCGCATCTCACCCTCACTGGGCCGGCCAGGCGCTCCAGGGCTGGAGCCTCCCCTCCCTCCCCTCCCTCCCCTCCCTCCCC